ACCGGGTAACTGGACTCACACACTGTGCTGTTTAGACTCTGCAGAACCTAAGAAGGGGTTAGTGGCTCCCTCTGTTTTTTTTTTGTTGTTGTGGCATTTGCAAATTTGCAGCATTTTCCCCCAGTTGCTATGCTACAGAGACGGCTGCTGCCATTGTTCAGGTGGACTTCCACTGTAGAGTGGCTAGTCGCAAACCTTAGCTTTCAAAGACGTTGACCAATACGTTTTTAATGTCTTTTTTGTTGCTCTTTTTTCAAAAGTGTGTTCAGGCATCGCTCAGTAGAGGATTCTCAGTGTTGAATCATCTGGTTTCCAGATATTTGCATATAAAATGTAAAAGATGATGGTAATCTTTTACCACCTGCACAATATATTGTAAGTTTATCAGCACAGTGTCACTGTACTGACAGTTCAGTTCACCATAAGGATATTTTAGGCGGTAAAGTTGGTGATAGACTAAGTTGCTTCATTGTTATAATATATGATGTTGGCCAGAAGCAACTTGCTCAATAAAAACTGACTGTTGAGATGACATTTTGACCTGGTCTCTGGATAAACTACTCCTGATGTTGTCATTATTTATTTTGAACACGATAGACGTACAAAATCACACAGATGAACAAGGAATGTTGTGCACCTGTAATTTCAAACTGATTGCTATTAATTTAAACAGAATAGCAAAGAAAACAGCAATAATTAAGACGCCATTGTTGCTATTGTTTCAAAAAGGTTTATTTGCCGTTTTCAGATTTTTGAACTATTAATGTGTAAAATGTGGAATAACTGAAATGCCTCTAAATTTACCAGGAACCTAAACAAGGTAACTGTGGAAAATATTTATGAATTATTCCTTTTTGCTATTTGCTGTTATGTTGTCTCAATGAGAATTTCTTTTGTTTGGCGTAATGCTTCAGCTTATTGTCCATTGGGAGGACACATTTTTGTCCAAGCTTTAACCTCCTGGCTGATGTCTTAAGATGTTGCCTCGATATTTTAATGCTGCTGATGATCTTCAAATAATCAGCACAAGTTTCGACTTCAGGAGGTGTGCATAATACACCGATTATATTACCGACTGTAGTGCGATGGTATGCATGTGTGTCAGATTTGGTGAGTATGGTTTGGGCAGATGGCCGAATCCTGATTGAGTCGCAGCAAAGTGTGACCAGAGTAAGCTGTTGTCCTATCTGCCTGGAACAGCCTGAAAGATGCATAAACTTATTTCTTAAACAGAAGAGGGAACTAGTTGTGTTTAATCAGTATATTTTGAGTACAATAAGAAATATTTCATGCATTTGGTTTTGGAAAAGAACCTTCTCTTATCTGTTTCCATGGCATGACTCAAGTTGGTTCAGATTCCATGGAGCACAAAACCTTTCATCACATGGGAAGCCAACTTCAGCATCTTCTTATTTTTATTATTTAAGGAGCAAATGGCTGCCACTGAACTCTGTAAATGCTTTCTACTGGAATTTCTAGAATGTTACACCAAAACCTCTTAGAAAAACAAGAGTCTGGAAAAGTACAGCGTTTGAAATGGAAAATTTGTTGGAAGCCATTTTTTTGGTTGCAGTGATGTCAGCATTGAGACGGTGATCCAGTATATGGGGTCTTGGTGTCCCTTAATGTCGGTATGTCATGATTGTGACCTGGTTGATTGTCTTACTGTGTGTGACAGGTGGAGGTGCTGTATGGGGATGAACCATTAAAGGACTATTACACACTAATGGATATCGCCTACTTCTACGAGTGGAGAAGAGTAAGTGACGGATTCTGTACCTTTAAGAAATAACTGAGGAACGTTCCGAGTTTGAAACAAGCTCAGATGTCCCGCTGCACCAATTTGTGACACTTAACTTAATATTAATAATTATAATGCCGTCTAGTTGCACAACTTTACGGACACGTTCATTTGTGACTGTTTTCATTTTTATTGCGCTGTTCATATTACAGTTTTCTGGAGCGCAACGCGAAGCTTGGTATAATTCAGAGGTAATATATTAACTTGACGTTAACAAAGACACAGTGGGACGGTTCATCAGGCAAATGATGGACAGGGAGAGTCTTAACTAAAACTACCTGGATGTCAGACAAATTCTGGGGTTTTTATGTCTGCTTATTTTCAAGCCCCAAAAAGAAAAACAAGCCCAAAGCTTGCGTATGACACTTGGACTTGGTGAGCGAAACTCAAATAGTTTCTGTTTTTCCAGCAACAAAATGCGCATCTCCCTCTCTGCTGATACTGCCGCATAGAAACTGCGATCACTCCCCAAGACGGGTAGAAAATTAAATTACAAAAGAAAATAGTAACGCAAAGTGATTTCAATAAGTAACTGTAGTCTGACTGCTTGATTTGAAATAGCAATGCGTTAAATTATGCATTAATTAAACGTGTTTGGTGGTCCGACACTGCTGAAAGGTCACCAGACTTCAAAAGCCACCTGATTAATGAACGAATTCAGCCTGTGTGTAATTGAATAGCAACATCTTTTCTGTAAAGTCCTTAGAGGTTTGCTAGAGAACCTTAGTGAACAAACAGCATCACAAAGGCCGAGGAACACAGCTGACAGATCAGGGAGAAAGTTGTAGAAAAATTTAAAGGAGGATTAGGTAAAAAAACAAACAAACAACAAAACAATCTTTGAGCTGTCAGAGAGAGTTAGATATATGACCGGCAGAAAGTAGAATGAAGAAAAAAATATTGAAAATCAGAAGAAGTCTTTGTTTTTTTTGCCACAAGTATGGGAAAGTGGTCCAAATTTACAGGAAGATAAATGAAGCTTCATTCAGAAGAGAACCTGTTGGAGGCTGCAAAGACTTTGGATTGAAGTACACGTCATTCTCCAGCAGGGGGTGTTGTTTAGCTCAGTGATTTATTTTCATTTTTGAATGGCCCAGTCACATCTGCATTTAATTAAGATATGGAAAATGGACAAAAATTTAAATCTCTCCCTGTATAAGGTAGATTCTTACCCTCAACGACTTTGAGGCTTTAATTTCACCATAAGATGCTCTTTCTGAACTCTGAAAGCAGAGTTCAGAAAGAGCAGGAGGCTTTTAAGCAAGAGGCCCAGTTTCTAGGTGTTTAAGAGAAAATTCTTCCAAGTCATATTTGAAATATTCAGCATTTTTATAACAACTGAAGATAACATAGTTACTTGGTTGTGCTATAAAGTGGCACTATGTGCCTATGAAATGTATAATACTCCTCCTTTTATTCAGATTAACTTTAGGAAACGTGAAGGTCTCCTCAGCATCAAATTGTATGCTCTTGTGTAATTCCACACAGACCGGACCCATCCCCTTGCAGTACCTGGTCAAACCCAACCGGAAACGCAGGAGGCCTTTGCAGTCTGCCGCCCAGGGCAACTCTGACGGCGTCAACACCAGCCCGACGTCAGAGAGCGACTCTCAGAGCGACAAACTCCACAGTCCTGCCGCAGTCCAGCCGCCCAGAGCCTCCTCCCAGACGAGCGCCGCTTCCCACAACGCTTCCTCCGCCATCCAAAGCCCCAACGGCACTGCGGTGCCCAACAACACTCAGCGACACGCGCTGTCCTCCAAACAGGGCTCCAGCAGCCGGAAGGTGGCCGTCAACGGCACGAGCTCCGGGGCCAGCAAAGAGGAGGCACGGGGCGGCGACAAAAGCGGCGCGCCTCCAACGACTTAACCCCCATGGGGCAGCGGGGGAGGACAGTGATATTTACGCTGCTCCCTGTTTTTATTTCTCCGAGTAGCCGACAGAGGCCCGAGCTGTCATCCTTTCGGACAGGCAGGAGGCAGATCGCCGTTATCTTTCATCTGGAAAGACTGAGACATGCAGCCAAATAGACTCTTGTATGTGCGTGTTCGTGTGGTAGAGTAGAGCCGTGCACACATACAAACTGTACAGGATGTATCAAATGTGAGCATGTGTGCATACATATGTATAAACTTATCTTTTTATACAAGATATCGTAACCGTTTTTGTATCGTATATGCAGTGAGTCCGTTTCATTTCCATAGACGTCCACTTGGCTTCCACGGCAGAATCATCAGAGCTTTATGTGGTGCGAGTCACTGCATACGGTTGGATGTTGAAGGAAAAAAAAAAAGAGAGAGACAAGCTAATCCTCGCCTTTTTAAAGAGTTTCTCTGAAAGTGTCTGATATAAGCAGCGCCTCATCAGGTAGCGTGTACATTTATGGAAAACCGTTGATGCACTTTGTGAAGGTCCAGTCACAGAAGCTGGCAGGTATTTTCTCAGCAGGAGAATCTCCAGCCGTATTTTCACACTGAAGTCCAAGCACTACCACACCGACGGGCTACGCGTTCGTCAGCACGCTGTCCCTGCTCTAAGAACTGAGTGAAAAACAAGGGATTTTGGAAAATTTGCCATGTATGTTGTTCCGTACATTTCAACATTCCCTTTTTGTTGCTTTTCAAACAGATTCTTTTTTTTAATCAGCCATATGTGCATGTTTTAGGTCAATAAAATGTTTACTTACTAGGTTTTTCTGACTTAAGCCTCCTGTTTAATTTTCCCTGTCATGGACTTTCAGGGTCATTTTCCCCATTCAAAGGATATTTCTGCTTTGTAATATGAATGTAATTACTGAGTACATTGTAATGTATAAAAATTAGTCATTCTGGGTATGAATATCTATAACATGTTTTTTTAATGGTCCATTTGAAACTTCCCTTGTCCTTCCTGAACGAATCGGTCAAAACAAAACAATTAGTTGTTTTGACAACTGTTAACTAACAAAACAGTTCGTTGAACAAGTTGGAGATCTGTAGTTATAACTCAGCAGAACACTGATGACCTCTCTGTGATTTTGACAAGTCACCTTAGTCTTACCTTAGTCCCCACTGACTTCCACTTACCTTAATATACAAAAACAACTTTGTGGAATATCTAGAAGCAAAGAAGTTTCATTATAGGCTTCAGTTCATTCAAGATGATTCCACATTTTGTGCACAATCACCTGCTTTCCTGTTACTCATTATTACTCATTGAACATGTTCAAGAACAATTTATTTCTGTAAGATCACTCATCTTCAAAGTTAATAGCGGAAACCTAGATGCCATTTAGTTCACTGGCAACATGCCCCACTGATTTAAAAAAAAAAAAAAAAAAAAACCCAACTGCCCTGATGCTGTTTTCTCTGAAATGTTTCTCCCAATGACTCATATCTGTCCTCAGGGTTCTTCGCCTTCATCAGTCTGTGTATTCATGCAGCGGAGCAGACACGATGAAGTCCTGTTTGTGTGTGCCGTCGCAGTAAGGCGCATTGTTGGTGTGCTTGCATCCACACAGCCACACCGTGGAGTCTTTCTCCGGTACAAAGCGAAGCCCCTTCATTCCCTGTGCTCTGGTTTTGTGGGTTCCATCGCAAAACGGCTTCAAAACAGAAAACCGCAAATGAATATGGTACTTTTTTTGGGGGAGGTTTGTCTTTTTTAAAATCAAAAAAAATATTTTCTCACCTGTTTCCGACTGTATCCACAGGTGCACCATGAGTAGCTTTTTCCTCCAACAAGCTCCACTTTTATGGGCTCCTTAGATGGAATGACAGGTTCTGGACGGGCTGTGGACAGATTAACCTGGGGATTCAGAAAAATACACAAAGAAACACGTGACTGCTGGTGTGTGAAAACGCCTTTAATTTGCCAAAACAACTGCTGCTCAACTCCACTCACTCAGAGAAAATGTCTTAAAGGAAGGCCAGGCTTTAAAATTGGTGCAGATGCCACTGACAGGGGAGGGCCTGCAGGAGACTGATCAGTTTTTAAGTTCTCAGCCATTATACAGTCTGGACAATAAAAAGTCACCACCATCAGCAAAATAGATGCCATATCCTAATCAGTCAGATCCTAATTTATGGCACCAGCCTTTACGAGCTGAAAGCTTGAAAACAGTTTCATAATTCAGTAACATGTTTTGTGAAGAATTATCACAGAGGTCTCCTTTATTGTCTGATTTTGTCAAGTGCTAAAAACATAAACATGAAATCTCTTGTCCATGACAAACAAAATGTTATTAAACATTCCAAAAGTAGAATAAGTTACGCAGATCAAAGATTACGTTCAAGTGTGTCAGAAATTAACACTAAAAAAACCAACAAACAAACTTTTAAATATTTTTTCCCACTATTTTTGGCCCGTTTTTCCGACCTAAGAAACAAAATTACTTACTCTGTCCATAACGTAGATAGCGCCCTCTGCTGGTGACACTTAAAACGACAGCAAGGCGTTTGCCTCCAGTGGTCTCACGATTCAATCGTCTTAAAACAGGTTTTTATTTGTCACTTTTGAAGCTATTCGTTTTCTTTTATTAGAAGAGAACATGGTGACATGTACTGTCGGCTTCATGTCCCCATACGTCCAAACCTTTGTGTTGGACAGAATTCATTACGGGTAAAAACTCAACAGGAAGGAGAAAACAGGACGCACAGCAGGAAAAGAAATGATCCATCCATCTATGTCTGGAAAACTTTTATGCAAAAAAAAACATTTGCCATTGTATTCTATACGCTGATTGAGCTTCATGTGTAGAGGGCTTTACAAACTCCACAACAGCAGAGAAATGTGCTCTCTCTCCCAGAACCACAAGAACAAGTCTTCTGCTTTTGCAGCTCTTGTTTAGTAGTTCTTTGCGCATCATCTGGGCAGAACTTCTTTTTTTTCTTGTGTAGCGTTCAGAGAAATGCTGTGTGATTGGTCGGAAATTTGACTTTGGCTACAACAAATGCTGCAGCGTGATGGGACTCACGAGGACTTCTCTGGAGTTACATGCTTGTGTTTTTGGAAAGTAGGAAATGTGCTGGCCACATGGAGTATGCACATACCGTTTCAAAATGCATGTTTTTGCTCACCATGATTTATTCAACATTGCTCAAAATTTACAAAATAGGAAGAACAACAGTAACAATTGCACCTCATCCATATCACTCATTTCTTGTATCGGGTGATTTATCAATAATTTATTTGTGTGTTTGTGTGAGAAAGAAAGAAACTGAGATGAAGAAGAAATTATGAAGAATGAACTGTCCATTAAACCTTGTAACATTGTCTTATTCATCCACATGGTTGTTTTTTTCCCCGTTTTTTCTTCTTGTCATTAAGTAGTCTGAACTTAATGCTCAAAAATATTGAGCATTAAGTTTTAGTATCAATTAAAGTGGACATCATTAATTTAGGAACATAAGTGAGAGCTTGATATACACATTTTGTAGATAAAAACTGATGAGCTTTTTTTTTGACAATTAAAATGAGAAAACAATGAGTTCCAGAAAAACATTTTTCTCCAATTACTGTTTTTGTTTGATTTTATTAAAATTCTTTTGTTTTTACATTTACTGTTGGTTGAGTTTATCCAATGTTTAGATCTTGTCGTTTATCGTTTGAAAAGTTTAACGGCATTCCCTAGGTTTAACTGAATCATCAGGGATTGCTTTTCTAGCTAATTGGATCAGCTTTAAAAAAAAAAAAACTGAATAGGTATAGTGTAGGGTTTCGTCGTCAAATAATTTAAATACATTTCATTAAAACAGACCATATCAAGCCAACTTTTAATAATTGTTCCTTAAAATAGTTTTTTTTTCTTCCTTCAGCACAAACATCTGAGTCCTGATGCAAAAAAGCTCAAACGCAAAGTACTGAATAAAAGCTCTAACTTAAAAAAATAAAACTAAGTCGATGTCTTTCATACAATCTAAAGGTTTGTCAAACTTAATTTACATGTGATTAACGTGACAAGTCAACAAACGTAGTATAATTACTTGAATAAACGTAATTTCTTGAGACATTTATTTTTAAGATTGCATTACCTGTTTACTTTTTCTCAGTGCATCTTGGTTGCTGAAATTCATCTGTGACACATCCATGAGTCAGATCATTAATCTCCAAATCAGTGTTTATGTTCTGGTGGTTTAAATTTTTTTTTTTTTTTAGATGTGATTTCCTAATTTTAGTCATCATCAATCAATCCCTGTTCATTTAAAGAGGCCCAACGACTCAATGCCAGTTGTGGGTGGTAAAGACTGACTTTCATATAAATAACTTAAAAAAAAAAAAACACACACACACAACAATAAAACTAACAGTTTTATCTCAGGTAGTGTTGTAGAACCAAACCTTATGGTATGTTAATATATTTGATATTTACAAATATGTCATATTTTAGTAATATTTTGAATAAAGATACCTTGTGTTAGAAAAAGCTCCTGAACTCCTGGGATTATTTGGAAAAAAACTACTAAAACTAGACAAACAGCCAGCTGTGTCGTCAATCAAAAACGCAGTGCCCTCAAATTCACCATGGTTCATTCTTTGGTGGCGTCTATCTGGACGACGGCAGGAAGCATTTTAGTTCAGATTTTCAGACGGCAGTGTGTTTATGCAAAACAAAAGGCGAAACCGAAATGTCATCTGACCTTGGGAGCCGCCGTAGCTGCTGTTCGCGGATGTCTGAAGGTGAAAGTCAACCATCGGGAGTTAAACAGGCTGATCATGTTATCAACAACAGCTAACGCCTCGGCTCACAACGACAATCTGGAATCCGAATCCAAACCAGCAACCAGTAAACGTCCGGTCGACAGGTTGGACCTGATTGGAGGAGAAGCGTTCTAGATGAATCACGTGCCATTTGCTAAACCAATGAGAAAGCGGAAGTCACCGATCACGATTTAATGACTTAAATGTATGGTTCCCAAAAAATAAAATATGTCATTTTTATTTGTAAAAAATTGTAAAAAGGCCACCGCCGGCACACACAAACAAAAATATATTTTAAGGCTGAACCTCATTAATTAAATAATAATTAATAGTTAAACGGAATAAAACAAATGAGCTGCCATTTTTTTTTCTTTTGATATTATATGAATAGGAATCTATGTAACATGGGCTTGATGGCTGTGTACACAGATTAGAATCAGGGGACGCTGTAATTGGTTGAGTGTGAGAAAATGAGCAGGAACTACTGTATTCTTTTTAAATAAACGTTCAAAGAAGGCTGTTTCTTTTTGTTAGGTCACCATGAGACTCTAACCTGTTGTACATTATACGGGACACAAATGGAACTATTTTGTTCAGTCCCCCTTTGGTGACTTCTCACTGGCAATCTTGTAAATCTACCAGCTCCACCGTTTCTCAATTTAATCCATTTATTGATCCTCCTTCAAAACACTTCCTCCTCAGAAACGTTTAACTATAAATTAGAAAACAGAAAAAAATATTAGGGTTATACGGAGTTCAAAGCATATATATAAAACCCTTTCACACTTACTGTAAATGTTTTGTAAAAATATGTTTTATTGTACTCTTACAGAAATCAGGTTCACACTACTACAGTTCTACAAAATACTTCTTTTAGTGCTCATGAACAATATTATGTGACCCAAAAACAAAAAGCTTGAATACAAATAAGCAGCATTTGTGTTTTATCAACAGCATTTGCGTCACACAATGTGGCAAGGTAAGACATGGTGACCTGGATCATTTAAACAGGCCTTTAATATACTTTACCACATCCCTATAGATGACTTTCAAGTGCGAGCCGTCGCAATACGGAGAGTTGTTGGTTTGCTTACAGGCACAGAGCATCACTGTCTTGTTTTTGTCGGCAGTGAAAAGTAGAGGTGAGATATTTGGGGCTTTTGCTTTGTGAGCGCCGTCGCAGAAAGGCTGTAAAACAGGATAAAAAAAACAAAAACACACATGTTAATCGTTACTTTACAACATAATGCCAAGGCGCTTTAATCTTCACTTATGTTGAACAAGTTGAATGTTACTTTGACTAGATTGAAGAAATAAATTAACGTGGACCTTTAAGTCAGCTTTAAAATATATTTCTGTGGAAAATGTTGGCTAATTTGCAAATATCGGTTTGTGGATGTCAGCATCTAACACAACCAGTTGGAGGCAAGTAAGGCTGAACAAGTTAATGGAGGTGAAATTAGTCACTTTATTGCACAGTAATGATAGTTGAGGTGGGGTTTTACACTTCTAAATCTAAAACCTCATTGAAACTTTTAACTGAATAAACTGGCAAACAGAAGAAAACCTCACCAAACTATAACAATTTGTTGTCAAGTCTAAACATTAAACAAATGTTTGAAGAACCAGAAATGTCTGATGCTACTTTAAACACCACGGGAGGAAACTTCAGTATATTTTGTTTTTTGCTTAGCTGAGGAAAACGGTCAGTTTTACAAAGCTGCAGGTAGACATGTTATAAACCATTAAGGGCTCTCAATGGGCCAACAAATGTCAGCTCTGCAGGCTAATACACAACCCTTTATTAGATAAGATAATTATTCAAGAAACTCAAGGCTAAAGTCTTTGTGAGGCTAAAGTTCAAGTCTCAGCCTGAGCGGCAGTGACATCAGGACTTTGTTTGGTTTTAACAGGTGCAACAGTGCGTTCTTTGTTGATCCAAAGCTCTTTGTAAGCCTCCTCCCATTAATATTTCATCAACCCTGAATAGATTTATTTGACAGGAGCCATGGGAACTTCTGTGACATGAATCTAAAAGCAGGCGAGCTCAGCGTTCGTCTCTCTCACCTGTTTCTTGCTGTGGCCACAGGCACACCAGGCGTAGCGTTTCCCGGCAGACAGCTTCACCCTGTATGGGAGCCGGGCAGCAGGGACGGGCTGAGTGGACTGCAGGCGCCTCTGAACCTGGAGGACAAAGCAACACATGTTCTGCTCAGACTTTAAGCTCCTGTTGTCAAGTTGGCAGATAATGTCTACATCTCTGGACATGGTGAAGGAGGTACGATGGAGGAGTACGGGCGGAGGTAAAACCAGCTGACCCAATGTACTGGAGGTTGGGGTTGCTAGTAAACGGGCTGAGCTCTGCTGGCTTTGCTAGGTGAGAGAGTCACATTCCGAGGAGTTTCCAAAAGTGTCATGTTTAGACACACACAAAAAATATATGTTAACTTACTGCCAAAAAGCGACTCGGTGGACTTTTTAATCTTTTTTTTTTTTAGAAGCGGAAGAAATCCAAAAGGAAACGACTCGTCTTATTTTAACGTTTAAAACATCCGTTTTAAGTCAAATATTTTAAGTTTGATTAACAATGCACTTATGTTTGGAGTCACGCAGAAGTTTCAGGAAGAATAAACAGAAATATTTCTTCGTAAAAACACGGATTTTCACGGCGTCTCATCAGTCAGAGTCGTTCTCTGCTACAAGCTAATTAGCCAATTAGCCTCACGCGTCTGTCTTCAGTGGTGGTAAAGGTGAACGGATGGCCAGGTTGGATTTTTATTTTTTTTAAAGAGAGAAACACACATGGTGTGAACACCCACAGCCGTGACTCAGCACGCTCACAGCAAAATGTTTGCAGAAATTACGTGAATAGAAACCCCGCTGTGACTCAGCGAGCCGCAGAAACTCTCAGCAGAGACTTTTTGGCAGGAAAACTCACCGTGAGGGAGAAGATCGACGGAGGCGGAAGCAGCGGCGGAGGCCGTCGGAAGGACCGCGCGCACATCAACCCGGCCGCATTCATGTTTCTGTGGCGCACTTTATGCGGGTGGGCTGCTGAATGGGCCTTTTCGTGTCGTTATTGTTGTAGACGCAGGCAGAGAGCTGGAGGTTCCGCGGCAGAAGTTCTGGTCAGACCTTGGCCCAGACTCCGCCTGCCTCTCTGCTCCTCCTCTTCCTCCTTAGACTCATTCATTTCATTGACAGCTCTAATCTGTGGTGCACGCCCACTGAAGGGGGATCGTCAGGAGTAAAGCACCTTCTTTATCAAATTATCCCCGCTGATTTATTGGCACCAGGCCTCACAGAACAAGGCTGAGTCAGGGTGTCTGGGATAATCATTCACGTAGCTGTTTCTTGAATTTGACTGGCGAGGTTGTTGTTCCACTTTCCTCCTGTTTTTGGTTTCACTTAGTGAGCCTCCTCCTTCTCTAAAGTATTGAACACATGCAAAACACCCCAGATCTCCCAGTTGCCAGTTTGACTTCATTTAAAGATGATTTAATTAATTATAATCTCAACATTCAACTTTGGTTTCATCAGACTATATTTTGGGAGAAGTAAGGATATTTATTTGTTTTAGAAAAATAAGCAAGGACTAAAATTGTTTCCACAATAACCACATCTAACCAATCTTTTTCTAGACTTTTTATATACTTAACACAGTCATGCCTTTATACCTTAATAAGTCCAAAAAGAAAGCAGGTTTTTAAGAGGACACCAACGCCAATTGCAAGAAAGAATAGACAGCGGAAAACATCATGAAACAACTCAGTAAAATACATTTATTGACAAAAAAAGTTGTCTTTTTAATTTTGCACACAAAAATATCAAAATACTTTACAGGGCTTTGAAATCTGAATATTGTCAATTTGTTTCGATCAGTTCTGTCAAACAAATTCACTGTACAATGACAACAACGTGCTTTCCTTCTTATAATTCAGTGCTCATTTTATTTATCTTTTTTTATTATTATTAATTCATGGGAACAATGCATTTTAAATGATGCATAGTTATAACTTGGTATTTAGCTATACATTTGAGAGACATCACTGCATTTCATGCAATCCATATCCTAATAGCCGACGTCTCATTTAGAGCCAGGTGCTTAAATGTTGCAATACATAAAAGATACACAGTACGACATTCATAACATGGAATATGTCTGTTACCCAAACCTCAAAGGAATGAATGTGTTTTTACACAAACATATTAAAGTTTACAAGTTATTATTAAAAATAATAATAATAATAAAAACAAAATGTCATAAAAACAATTTACATTTGGGCTCACAGGGCCCCAGTGCAACATGACAAAGAAACCGCTTCAGCAAACCTTTGCTCCACTCTTTGAGTCTGAACTTTTTCTTGGTTGAGAGGAAGATCATAGTGACGACAAACCTCCATCTTGCAGTCACACTAACAAAACATGACCGACATTCACCTTCGGTCACTGCTACAAGTACACATGCCTGGCAAAAGGATTCAGATCCTTAAACTGTTTACAACCACAAACTTCAATGCATTTCATTCTGATTTTTATGGTGCTGGCCAACACAAAGGGGCATATAATTGTCAGGTGGCTTTACAAAAACTGAAAAATGTGTCATTGAATTGTTTTCAATCCCAACTACTCTAACATGCCAAATTAAATCCAATGAAACTGACTTCGAAAGTCACCAACTAAGTAAACACTTCAGATGTGTGTAATTTAATCCTAGTTTCTGTTTTCAGGTTCATACAAAATAACTTTATGAATGAAATAATTTTTTTCCTCATCTTCTATTTACACTGACACTTCTTTTGTGTTGCTCTGTCCAAACAAATCTGATTCAGAAGTTTCTGGTAGCTTCAGACAATCTGATAAAAGCTAAAGAGGAATGAATATTTTTTTACAAGGCACCGTTTCACAAACTAGGGAGATGCTTGAATCTGTGAAACAAACCCATCACTGACAGTTTGGGAGACTTACAAACAGACAGTAAACCGCTCAGAAACTCAACTGAGAGATGTACAGTAGAGAAAACTGACGTGTAGGTAAAACCAAGTCAAACGGGCTACGGTGGAAGAATCAGAGTGGAGGAAGCTCAGCCTCTGCGACGGGGCTTCACTGTCGTCTCAGTGCTGATAGCAGTCACATTACGCATCAAACACTGCTATATCAAGAGTTCAACTCTTTCCTATGACTGCAACATGTGCTACAAATTATCGTTTCTCAGTCTTCTGAAGCACAACAATAAACTAAAGAGCTCTGCGTGTGAACACAAAAGTCACAATAGAAAATGATTTGACACTTGACCATACGGTTATTCACAAGTTTTCACTGTTGAAATCTTCAGTCAGCTATCAAAAGTATAAATGAGTTTAAGAAGGTCATTTAAAAACAAACAATAAAAGCCTCCATGTGCCCGAGTTAAAAACAAAACCTATCAAAGACAAAAAGAACAGAGTGAGCCTGTGGGCTGCGGGCTCTCCCTGTAAATCTACCCCATTTATTAAGGCATTATCTATCCAGTATTGCTAAAAAAAGAGCTAGTTAAGAGTTATCCATGTGTGAAGGTAACACAAAGAACTTCAGGACAAGAGTGCAAAAATACTCACAAGTCATAAACCTCTTCAGTTTGTGGTGGCCCACTGAGCATCCTTCAGAAGGGAGTCTGTGGATGACTAAACATGCACACTCGTTCAGGAAAAAAAAAATGATTCCCTTTCCAAAAAAATTTGGTTTCGTCTGTTTAATCTCGACAGCAACTGGAAGGATATAAAAGACGGAAGGAACTCTCATCTTGGGATGGAACGAAAAAGCAGACACCCCTGACTGTCGACGGCATGCCGCTTTTTATTTTTCGAAGTTTAAAATCGAGTGAATGCCACGTCTTTTTTTTTAGGTGGTCATTCCTATCCACTGAAGGCTGCTACGGTAATGACTCTGCACAAAATAAACAACGGAGGACAGCTGGCAGAAAGTTTGAGGTAATAACTAGCTTAATGAGGAAACGCCACTAACAACACACCAACTCGACTACATCTTATACTTAAGTGCCAGCGCGAGGCCGAAATGTTCAAAGGACGAAAAGGAGCGAACGCAAACGGGAAGACGAAATATATTGAGGAAGACAGCGGGAGGTTGCCGGAAGTGCTTCCTCGCGGACTGACTGGAAGCTGGTTTGCGCGGCGGAGGGAGATGTCAGTGCTCGAGTAGTCAGGGCCAAACTCTTGACCTTTATATCAAACGTCAAAATAAAAAAGCCCACCCAGCTCCTGCAGCAGTGAGCTTCATAAGCAGCCCCCATTGGTCAAGCTAACAAAATAGTGCAATTTAAAGGAGAGACCACTGTAGTCATGTTCTCTGAAAGCTGCCTAAATGACAAAGATAAAAACCATAACACAGACCTCTAATATGAAGAGCTTCAAGAAACAAAAACAAAACAACTTCACCTTATGTCACGTTTTACATTCATAGAAGTTTGTCAGATGAAGATGACAGAGGAGGGAGCGACTTGAGAGCCCAGAACTTCACAGAAACCGACGATTCTGACGGGACGTCGTCATCCGAACTGGACAGGTGGCAAAGAGGAAAAAACACTTCAGCCGTTCTTGTCTCCTGCCTTCTCTCCTGCTGTCTGGGGAAAAAAAATGTCAGAATGCAATTACATAGCAAGAATTATTTAGAATGTCTTATTTAGTTATTAGTGTTGATCACATTAATACCAGAAATGTCACTGTATTTTATTAGGATTTTGCCTGGTGAACATAACCCATAATCATAATGTGGAAAAAAGATTAAATGCATAATTCTTATTTTTTTGAAGTATTCAATGGATTTGTATTCTGTAACCTTCAATCAGGTTTATGTAGAATCACCTTTGGCAAGTCTTTTGGGCTTAAAAAAGTACCAGTGTTTAATTTTGCATTCTAAAGAGCCCTTTCTCTCTTGATCCTGCTAAAAAGAATTAAAATATGCGATACTAACATTTGCTTTAGTGAACTTGTGAGTATTTTTGCACTCTTGTCCTGAAGTTAATTTTATTTGTATATTTAGGCTTAAGAATGAAAGAAAAACATTTACAAGAGTGAGAATAAAATGGAGGCAAGAGAAAACATGTGGACAGGGTGATAAGGAATAAAGTCTGGTAAAACTAATTCTTCTATTTTCTTCTTTTTCTCTCTTATGCTGAAATAGAAACAAACATCACATTCAAATTTCAGGCTCTGTAGAAACCCTGATTGATGTTGGAGGATACATCTAATTATAGAAAAGTTATTAGTCTATTTCAAAAAGGTCAGACAACAAGGATTTTTGTGCATCACTGCAGCTTTAAAAAAAAACCCTCAAAAACAACAGAACAAAGAAAACCGGTTTTCTTTCAGAAAGGTTTGGGGCGTGATCATGTTGACTCTTTGCAGCAGCCATAGTTTTAATCCGCTCGAGGAAAATCATAATCAGGGCTTGTTGGCTTGAACTACGATGAATTCAGCTGTTCTTCTGGTTCGTCACTTTATGAAATCCTGCAGTAATACTCACCCCAGGTTTGTGGAGCACATTGTCCTGCAGACCAAAAAGACCCCCTGCTTGGCTCCCCTGTAGGGGAGACGCGGTTGCAGATGACAACAGGTTGGGCGACTGGGAGATCAAGGGTGAGTTAGGGGTTGAGTTGAGCGCTCCCGTCAGCGTGAGGCGCTGCAGCTCCCTCTGTCTCTGCTGCTGCAGCATCTGGCACACCACCGCCTGCTGCTCCTGGAGGAGGAGGAGAGCACTGCAGGTAACTGATCTGTGATCAGAGCTAAAAGCAAACAAACAAAACTGCTGTTTCAATGATCACTGAGGCCAGCAGCCGCTTTTGAAAAGCAAAGAGAGGGAGAGAGCGATAGACTGCAGGGAGGCATGCAACCAACTCGACAGAGGTGAAAAAGACTCAGAGCTACAGAATCGTCACTTTGCTCTGAATCCTGCGAGCTTAGAAGAGTTTGAGACTTCTTGCTCCAGATGCACTGCAACAAACCTTAAAATTCATATTTTTACCCGTTTTTGTAACAGAACAAAAGTAAGAAATCTTCAGTCCCCTTATCGTGACAACTACTCAACTTCACAGTCAAACAGGAAACAAACTGGTTTCTATAATTAGAGTGTGTCAAAGCGCCTGACTGGTTTAAG